TTACATCCGTTTAATACAGGTTAATATGTCAGGAGTAAGCAGACGATATTTCAGTACTAAATTTCAACCGCAGAGGCGCAACCTCTGAACGTTGTCAGAAATCGCACAACTCTGTTCCCCCAAATATAGGCTGGCTTTTAAGCCGCGTGAGGTCTCCTTATACTACTTCGTGCTTGCAGCTATTCAAAATGTCCGACTCGCTCATTGTGCGCGCGGACGATGAGCAAAATGTTTTGGCCACCGCTTAACGGTGAGCAAAATACTTTGCTCATCGTCCGCGCGTACAGTGAGGGATTCGACTATTTTGGATAGCTGAAAGTGGTTGCCAAACGAGGTTTTTGCATGCACGTATAAAGAAAAAACTGTTTTTTCCTAATTTTGAAATTTACCAATTTAAAAAGTGTGAAACGTAATATTTAAAAATTGAATTAGTTTTCAATTTTTTAAATCAATAATTATTCTCTTTTATTAAAAAAACACATATAAATTGCATTTTTCAAAAAACACTTTTAAAAAAGCAGTTTTTGCAAAATTTTTTAAATTACTTATCTCAATGTTGTAAAAAATAATGGCTAAAAAGCAGATTATTCTTCAATTTTTTAAATAAATAATTATTGTTTTTCATATAATTTTTTCAAAAAAGTACATATAAAAAAGAAATTTTTTGACAATTTTTTAAATTGCTATTCTCAATATTGTAAAAAAAGAGATTAAATTTCAAATTGTATTTCAATTTGTCAAATAATTAATTATTGTTTTTTATCTTTTTTCCAAAGGAGAACATATAAAATAGCATGTTTTTTAGAATTTTTAAAATTACTCATCTCAATGTTGTACAAAAGGTTGAAAATCCAATTATTTTCAATTTTTTAAATAAAAAACAATAGTTATTTAGTTGAAAAATTGAAAAATAAATTGGTTTTTTGGCCTTTATTTTTTACAAAATTGAAATGAACAATTTAGAAAGCTGTCAAAAAAATGTTTTTTTATATGTGCTTTTTGAAAAAAGTAAATAAAGAACAACAATTTATTGTTTAATTAGTAATAAACAATTTTAATTATTATTTATAATAAAATTAATTTAAATATTTGATAAATTACATAAGAATTTTCCAATTTTTATCCTGGTCTTTCCAAAAATGGCCTACATCCCTGGCGGATTCGATTTGCGTAATGTCTACTTAACTAAGCGGACTTTAGGTAGACATTAGGTAGACATGTAAAAAAACGTATAAAAAAGCTATTAATCAACTTATTATGATAAAAAAAAGTTGATAAAAGGGTAAATGAATGTTTATAGAGTAAATTCGTACAAAATTTGTAATTAATAAAGCAATAAATAATTAATAATGAATGGAAATGTGCGCGAGGTACCTGATCAGTTCAGCTGTACAATTATTTTCGTGCTATTTTCATGAAAAGAATATAAATTAACTCCAAAAACAATTGATATTTATAAAAAAGTGTAAAATTGATTTAATTTTAGTGTTTGCAATACGAATTATTAAATAATAATTAAGTTTTTATTAAATGTGAATAGTGTTGTGAAAACCTGTGAAAACTAATGAGTTACTACATTACCGATCGCATATGATAATAAAAAGTTCTCGATGAGTGTAACAAAAAAGCTGCAATCATGTCCGTAATTTTGAACGAGAAACAATTATGAAATCAATAATTATTTGTATAACTTTATTCTGAATTTTAAAATTCACTTTTTATTTTCTTTCAAAGCAAAAGCTTGGAAGAAAACATGCTCGCACTGTATTGTAAAAACTGGTGGCGCCATCTCTGGCAATCTCGGAAATTATGTACTTGGTTAAATTGGAGCTTTTTTGTTACACTCATCGAGAACTTTTTATTGTCATATGCGATCGGTAATGTAGTAACTCATTAGTTTTCACAGGTTTTCACAACACTATTCACATTTAATAAAAACTTAATTATTATTTAATAATTCGTATTGCAAACACTAAAATTAAATCAATTTTACACTTTTTTATAAATATCAATTGTTTTTGGAGTTAATTTATATTCTTTTCATGAAAATAGCACGAAAATAATTGTACAGCTGAACTGATCAGGTACCTCGCGCACATTTCCATTCATTATTAATTATTTATTGCTTTATTAATTACAAATTTTGTACGAATTTACTCTATAAACATTCATTTACCCTTTTATCAACTTTTTTTTATCATAATAAGTCGATTAATAGCTTTTTTATACGTTTTTTTACATGTCTACCTAATGTCTACCTAAAGTCCGCTTAGTTAAGTAGACATTACGCAAATCGAATCCGCCAGGGATATAAGCAATTAGTGTATTTTTCTTTACTTGTGACAACCAACTTAAACATTGTTTAAAAAACGTTTAAAACGCAAAATTTTGAATTTTCCGCACATAACAGACAGAGTCTATATTATTCTGAACATTTTCCAAAAGGTTTTTTTAAAAAATATTCAAAATTGTGCTTTTCACATACCTGAGAAGTTTGCGTGTCATGCGCCATTATTTGTGACGTCACGAAGGTTCAAATGCTCTTAAAGATACCTTTTTCATAATCTAGAAGAGTAATGTAGCATGTTCTACAAATGCAACTTTTCTGGTTTAACCTTTCCAAAAGCAATTTTCCGACCGCATTGTGCACATGTTTTCTTCCGGTGCTCCTCATGAGAACTCATTTTAAAATGGAGAAAAAGCAATTGGTCTTGCGCGCAAGCTATAAGTTAATCAGTCAGTTGTTACAAGAAGTTACAAAACTAATGCACGAATACATTGATATGAATGGATAAATGAATGAAATTTCAACTTGAATATAAATAGATAAATAAAGCTTAAATGGTAAATTAAGCTTAATGGTAATCTTAAAATATGAAAAATTATTGTAAAACGCAGTTTAAAAATATTTCGAAAAAAATTGGTTCTGATTTTGGACAAAATTGTTTTAGCGTCTATAAAGAGTAATCTAATAAGCTATTCTACAAGCTTTTGTATGTATTTTACTATAAGTTAAATATACTAATGCTTAGTGAGTACGTACTGTACACTAAAATGGTTTACCAATGAACAATACAGATATAATTGTTGATTATTGAACAGTATAATACAATGCTAAAAATACATTTCGTAAAATGTAATTTTAAGTTTTTTCGACAAAACGATCTGCTAGGATTTTATGAATAGCAATTTTTACATTTACGAATAGTCTTCTAAAAGCTTGTTCAGTCAATTTTTGGATCCATTTTAGTCGAACCTGTCGATGCTTGAAGACCACTGTGTTACGAGCCAAGTTGTATATTTAATTGCGCAAGCGCAATTGCACTTGGTTATTTTGTGGATTCAGCCTTAGTGTTAATCATTAAGATGAACCGGGAAAGTTTAAATAATTACACAATTAATTTCCGTTAAACGGAGGGAAAATCCTCTTGAAGACGAACAATAATAATTAGATAACGAATTAACCAATTATTAATTGTTCCGACTTCTAGATTAAAACCCAAGCTTTTATTAAATATAGAAAGAGACAAATACAAAGTTGACTTGGAGCGAACTCGACAAGTCGAAGGCAAGATAAGATCTGACGTAAAGCATAAAGTACAAGTAGTGGAGAAGCGCTCAGCTGTGAGTCCATGTGGCTTCTTTGCGCATGCTCTTTATATTTTCTTATTCTATGCTGTTTCCAGCAACACTGCACTGCACAACACTACGTATCTTATTTACTATACACTTTACTAATTATATATTTCAAGGTATATCTTATACATAATATTTATTATATTATAAATATTATAATTAACAATATAACATACTCATACGTATTAATGTAATAATTAATTATTATCTTGTTATTGTGTAAATAACACACACACACACACCACGATTATATATTTAATAATGTTCTATAGAGAAGATGATGATTTTTAATTTATATTTTTAATGTAAAAATCTAGTTGATATAAAATATTTCTTTACAAATATTTTATCCTTTGTTTGATCAATACGTGACTTTTCTCGATTTAGCGAGTCTACATGTGTGTCTGGTCAACATGTGTTTGGTGTCCTGTAGAGAAAGGACCACAACTTTTTCAAGTGGATTTTTTATGATCTTTAAGGGTTTTTATTTCATGGTTGGGATTAAAGGAAAGTTAGAATCATATTTCCTTTTGCTATTTTACTTAATTTATGACTTTTCTTAGAACTGTTTATATTCTTTGATTTGAGAATAAGACTTGAAAATACTTAAAGCGTGAAGATATTATTTTACAATTAAGTTAACTTTTTATAGTTTCCTCAATTGCTAAATTTATGTGAGAATAAATTCTAGAATACAAAATATTAATTATTTAATATTTTGAATATTTATTATTTAGCGCGTAAGTATCGTTAATTCGAGATATCGAAAAGTTATTCGAGCGAGAATATAGTCGCTCGTTACAACTGTGATCTGAAAGCGTTGAATATTTTTTTCACAGCACTGGCAACTGTGTAAACCAAAGAATTAAATTCCAGAGCTCTAAATATTCTCCGCACAGCACTAAATGTTCTGCAGAAAATAATCACAATTTTTTACTGTTTTATTTCTCGACTGTATAAGATAATGATTTATCGGTTTAGACTGAGGGATTAAAGTTAATGAAAAGAACAAGGCGTCAACTGTTTATTTAAACAGGAATTAATTAGTTAATTTATTAACAAAAATCCTAGCTTTCGGGGGAAAACCAATTACAAAGTTCACCAATGAACGTGCCAAAAGAAAACAATGCTTATTTAAAACAAAGAAACAAATTTTTTTTCAATTATACATTATTTCCTTCTGTATCAATTAAAAAATTTATTGACACAACCATATCATCGGTTTGTAAAAACGTACTTATAAACAATGTTAATTCTCATTTGTCTCTCATTACTACAAAAAAAATCGCTGGCCAACTTTCACACATTCTCTCTTGAATGAAATTAGCATTTGAAACATAATAAAAATATTTTTATTTATATAGGTCTTGCTTTATTTTTCGGAACCCTGAAACGCATGATATTAAAATAAACCAATTTTTTCGTCCATTCTCACTGGATTGTTGGTTTTTCTCATTACTTTTAATTATTCTTTGTACAGTTGCAATTGGTATATTTCTAAGTAGAGAGGATGACGATAATACTGCAGAACATTATTCAATTGCGATTCTTGTAACTCTTGGAGCTGTATGTCAACAAGGTATTGTGAGTTAAAATAAACAAAATAATGAAATAGATTAACCTTTCGTTTTTGTAACATACATTCACTGGTGTCTGAGTACACAGAAAAAAACTGTACTCAAAATGAGTACGTAATCATACTCATTTTGATATGTAGCAAAAATGATAACGCTCTTATTCATTTTGAGTTTTCAGTGAAAAAGTATAAAAATGAACAACGTCAGTTTCATTTTGAGTAAATGTTTAACTATGAATTATAGATAAATAACAAATGATTATTTAATTTAAAATAGTACTAAAACAATTGTTTTTCATAAATAAACACTTTTAAACTAAAAAGACTTTAATTCTTAAAGTGAATTTATTATTATTTATAAAATAAAATAAATCAAGTTTTAGGTTAAGAAACATATGAAATGACAGGCAGTAATACCAACTGCGTTAACATGAAGTAGAGAAAGAAAGCGCTATTGTCTAAAAACCAAAAGTAATGGCGCCTTATTTAAAAAATTTAAAAGTAAAATATTGTTTACGAAACAAAATGATATTGTGTTAAATTTTTTTCACATTAATTAATAAATAAAAAAAATTTATCTTTAAAAATTTTAATTCTTAAAATCACTGTTTTGTGATCAATAAACTAATAAAAAATTATAAATTCAATATATGTGATTGATGTAGTTTTTCTTTGGATCTATAGTAATTATTAGTAGAAGTTGTTCTTTTTTTTTATTTAAAAAAATTCATCGTCAATGGACGAAAAGCTTTGCTTTTTTTGTAATAAACGAAATGATTATTTTAAAATATTATAATATTATAAAATTGAGTTTTTATTATTTAAAAATTCTTATGTATAATATATTTAAAATAAAAATAAATTTATATTATTATATAATTAAATTAACTCATAATTATTAATATTATTAATATAATATTATAATATGAATAATAATAATTATTATTATTATAAACAACTTTAATAATAATGTGATAAAATTTTTTTTCGATAGAAAATAAAAACTTTAATAATATTTTGAATATTTTAACTTTAACTGCAATGCTAATAATTTTTTTTATTTAATATTTATAAAAAATTTTAGAGACATAAATTGTATTCTATGATTTTGGTTTATTACGTTTGAATTACTTTGTTCGTTCATCCTCAGATGACGCACTATGAAGGTGGTTCCAGAATAGGTGCAAAAGCCAAGTACAAGTGCAAGTCCAAGTGACAATCTTATGAGTGCGAAAGAGATAGGTAGTCTATCTATCTCTTTTGCATTCATGGGATTTGCATTTGGACTTGCACTTGTACTTGGCTTTTGCACCTATACTGGAACCGCCTTGAAATAGTTCACAGTTAGTACCAACATAATAGTGGTAAACAATTTTATCTAGCATAACCTGACATTTGATACTAACCAGTTTCATTTTGAGTAACGTGAAGTTTGCCGTTTACTCATTTTGATAATTTACTCAAAATGATAAGCAGCAAAAATGAGTACAGTTTTTTTCTGTGTAATGCCGGTTGAAAAAACTTGTATAGGATCGTGTACAGGATCGTGTACACGATCTTGTACATGTTCATTCACTAGGTCATGTACAAGAGCAGCAAGTGAACATGTAAAAAGAATTGGACCAAAAATCTTGTACAAGAACATGAACAAGAATATGTACATGAACATGCATATGTTTATTCCTGGTAACTAAAGACACTCTGCTCGTGTCCTTATGACTAATGTTAAAAATTTCCCCCAATTTTGAAAATATAAAAAAATTAACACAAGATCATGTACATGAACTTACGCATATTTTTACACAAGCACACGAGCATGGACTAGAGAACTTGATTTCTTTAGTTACCATGAATAAACATATGGTCGATTCCACGTGAGATTTACCTATAACATTTTAAATTCTGTAAATATATTTTTTTTTGATCTTTACAGAAAAAAAGGTTTACGTATATTTTTATTTTTTTAAGTGCTCAAATTTTCGAGTTATGAATTTTTAAAAATCTGATTTTTTCGTTTTTTTAAATTACACCTAATTTTAATAACATCTGTTCTGAATGGTGAGATTGATAAGAGTGAGTAGATGAAGGATAGGGAAATTTGATGGTGACGTATGAATGACGTCGACAAGACGAAAGAAAGTGGGAAGAATGAGAAAGGCAGTTATCTCTGTACCTCTGGTGAATGAGCCAGGAAAATTCATAATTATGTAACTATAAAATTAAATAAAACTAAAGACTGTTCAATTTTCAACAAAGAGTTTTACTGTCCACTAATACGCTATACGCAACATTTGGTCCTTCGAGCTGGATTTATCTAACAATTTCGGAGTGGATATAATGAGAAATCGTTGAAAGTGAAAATGATAAGATAATTGTGAATCGCAAAGGGACGCCATCAAGCACATGGTGACGCTAAATCATTATCGGAGATAGCTCAATTTTATAGACACTGTTGATGGAATATTTTTAAACTAAATCTTGGGAATTTATCTTTTAATCGACTGACTCTACATGGAATATTTTAATTACTGGAAAATCTGTCTAATGGAAAAGCAAACGATTTGAGAAGGAAGGAATTGTTTAAACGTCTTATCGATCTAACAAGGATAGCACGAGGCGTCGTCGGCAACTCATCGAGTTTAATATTGGACATTATCTAATTGTTTTTATGTATGATTTGATGTTTTTTACTCCTGTGAACTAAGCGCAACGCATTAGGTAAGATTTTATTCTTTTAAAATAAATAAATTCGTTTCAATCCGACCAAAGATGGCAGAACTAGAGCAAAAGAAAAAACTTCGCACAGCGGTAAAGTCAAAAGCAACTCGTTTCAAAACTAATGTAGATGCATATAGTCCAAATGTTGAGACAATTTATGAATTAGAGTCGCGATTAGAGAAGTTTGAACAACTTTGGTCGGAATTTGAACAAATTCAAAGTGAGATTGACGCCCTTTCGCCTGAGATAGAGAATAGGGAGACTTTTGAGAACGCCTTCTTTTCCACGCAAAATGTCGCGAAACGTAAAATGGCTCAATGCTTGGATCGCTCGAGATCCACACAGTCAAATTCAGAAGCGGCCATATTGACAAATGGAATTAGTAGGGGTTCATTAACACATGCGCGACTGCCTATTATCACTTTGCCTAATTTCGATGGTAGCTACGAGCGATGGCAAAGTTTCTTTGACACATTCAATGCGATGGTTCACAGAAACACGTCTCTTGATACAATAACAAAGTTTCACTACTTGCCATCTCCGTTGACTGGGAAAGCAAAAGATTATATAAATTCGTTTGAGGTCACTGAAAGTAATTATGCAATTGTTATCGAATTATTGAAAAAGCGTTATCACAATTCTAGATTAATAATAAATCATCATGTTCAGCAATTATTTAATTTGCCGCAAGTGACAAAAGATTTAGCAGGGTCATTACGCACACTATCCGATGGTTTACAAAAGCATACGCGCATACTCAAGCAGCTGAAGGAACCGATCGACATGTGGGATACATTGTTGATTTATTTAGCATCTACGAAACTTGATCATACTACAAAACGAGAATGGGAATTAAAGGCCGTGTCGGACAAACTATCTAAACTTACTGAATTTATCGATTTTTTGGAAACGCGATGTCAGATGATGGAGGCTATCAGGCCGAATCCTTCACATATGACAATAACAAAAACAAATTTGTATCAAGGAATAAAGCGGGAAAACAATAAAACGTTGACTCACATGGCGGTCGGTAATAATTCAGCTGATTGCGTATTATGTCACAAGGACCATAGAATTTACGTCTGCTCAAGTTTTCGTGATTTATCGGTGGAAGACAGGAGAGCGAAACTTAAGTTTCTTAATTTATGTTTTAATTGTTTGGGGATAAAGCATGCAGCTAAAGATTGCAGATCTTCACGTTTGTGTAAGTATTGCAATCAAAAGCATCATTCTTTGTTGCATTCAGGCAATCAACTAGAATCAAATAATAATTACCAAAGGTCGAAAGAAGTTGATAAGCAGAGTGACGGGAATTCGGGTTCTAGTGTTTCTGTGAACATGTTTGCACACAAAGACATGGGGGAAAAGGTATTGTCAACAGTCGCGATATTTGTTCAAAATGATGTGGGTAAAAGGATCAAGGTTAGAGCGCTGTTAGATAACGGATCTATGGCAAATTTTATGACCAGGGAACTTTGTGAACAATTAAATTTAAAGGAAAATCAGGTAGCGCATACTATATCGGGAATAGATTTGACACAAACAAACATTAATTCGTGTACCTCGGCGACGATTAAATCTGTACAAAATTCTTATAAGGTTAGGGCTGAATTCTTTATCACGAACAACATTTCCCAATGCATTCCAATAAAGAAAATTGACCTTGATTCATTGTCCATTCCTGAGCAAATCAAATTGGCAGATCCCGATTTCTACAAGCCTCAACCTGTTGATATTCTTTTAGGCACCACGATTTTTTGGGATTCTCTTGAGCCTAAACTTTTCTAAACTATTTTCATCTTGGAATAAGCTTAAAAGAGTCATGGCATATTGTTTGCGGTTCAGGGACAATTTGAAAAGAAAATACAAGGGTGATCCAATGATCACGGGAAATTTACTAGCCGAGGAATTGAGTAAAGCTGAGATGGTACTGGTCAGAATGCATCAGGAGGAGGAGTTTCCGGAGGAGATTAGCAGGCTTCAGCGAGACCAATTGATAGATTCAAAGAGTAAGCTTTTACCTCTGAATCCCTTTTTGGACGATAATGGATTGGTTCGAGTTGGGGGACGACTGTCACATGCATCTGCCTCCTATTCCCAACGCTTTCCCGTTATCTTGTCATCCAATCATTTCCTCACTGAATTGGTTATACGCGATGTTCATTACAAAAATTTGCACGCCGGGACTTCGTTCTTGCTTGCTTCACTGCGCGAAGCGTATTGGATCTTATCTGCCAGGCGAGCGATCCGTAGGGTGCTTCGTAAATGTATATTATGTTTTCGAC